TGTGTGTGTGTGTGTGTGTGTGTGTGTGTGTGTGTGTGTGTGTGTGTTGTTTGTTTAATAAAAATAAAAATTTATATTAAAAAAAAGCTTTTGGCGATAAAAAAGGAAGCCTGGAGGGCTGCGCACACCCTTCCCAGCCTTTCTCACCGCCAAATTACCTGAGTCAGCATTCAGTGATGAAAAAGGAGGTTTAGGTTTCTGGAAATGCACCAAAAACCTGAAGCAATGAAGCAGACAAAGAAATCGTTAGAGGAGATCTTTGCAAGGTAAGTGAGTCTTCACCTGCGAAGTGCCTGTGAAGACCCCAGAGGTGGGGGAATAGGCAGGGGGAATGTTGCAGAGCCTCTGCAGTCATTCCTAAGGGTGAACAACTGCCATGGTGCTGCAACATTTGTAATTTCTGGACTTGTTTGTAAACGCTAGAGGGTGCTTACTACGTAACTTTGAACGTTCACTAAGGAAACATTCATAACCCAGGGATTACCTGTATTAAGATGTGTATAGGTCTAAAAATCTATGTTAAAATGTAGATATTGAATATTGAGCTTACATTAGTTCTATGTAGGATATTTTTTGGACTACAAGACCTTCTGGACTATAAGACACACCTAGCTTTTAGGAAGGAAAACAAGGGGGGGAAATCTGACTCTGCCTCCCAGCAATTTGCCTCCTTGCAACAAACAGTCTGGTCAGCTTCAGCACAGCCTGGTTTATCACAAGCAGCTGATCGGTGATTGGATCTGCCTCCTGGAATACTGTCAATCTGCTGTTCCAGGCTGTGGGGATCAATGCTGCCCATTGGCATTGCCACTGCCAATCACTGCTGCCACCTGGAACAGGCTGAAAATAGGATGTGGAGGCCAAAAATGGAGCATGCAGAGGCAGTGATAGGTGGCAGTAGCGATCTGCACAGCCTGGAACAGCTGATCAGCGGTATTTCGGGAGGCAGATCCAACTGCGAATCAGCTGCTCATGCTAAATCAGGCTATGCAGTAGCTGACCAGGCTGTTTGCTGCAAGGAGGCAAATTACCGGGGGGGAGGGGCAGAGGCTGAAGAGTGGGTGCCGGTGGGTGGGCAGGGCTTTGGCAGCATTTGCTCTATAAGATGCGCAGACATTTCCATCCACTTTGGGGAGGGGGGAGTGCATCATAGTCTGAAAAATATAGTCTGTACTGCTAAAATACTCCTGTTTGTTCATCTATTTATAACTTTCAATCAACCAAATAATGCATTAAAGCACAAAAATTTCTGAATCAATGTACCCCAAATCTGCTAATTTAAAGAAAGTATGCAAAATCTGGACCCTATTATTCATGTGCAACTGAAATTTCAAGAATCTTCACATATGACCATGATTTCCAACTACATTTTAAGAAACCTGTAGGTTGCATGGCACAAGGGAGCATTGAAAGGCACCCTGCTTTCCTTCCTCTCTCTCTCCAGCTCCTGTGCCTAACTGGTTGGTGACTGGCTGATTTGGAATTGAGGGCAAAATTCGAAATATCTTAACAGCAATGGGCAGTGAGAGAAAGACAAGAAAATATGTGACTAGTCTGGCTGTTTGGGGGGGGAGAGAACACAGCAGCTATCTCCCTGGAGGTAGGGGGCTCGTTTCCTCCTTCCTACAGAAGAGGAGGCTGCTTAACTGGGACTCTGCTGAGGGTTATGAGAAAAAAGGGAACAGCACCAGGTTATATTATATATGGAAAGGAGGTGATATAATATAAATGCTATTATAACATGAATAATTTATTTTAAATATTCTCTTTTTATGTAAGAAAATAACTCTGAAAGGATGACCCAATAGGTCATGGATTGTCTAGTTTTATAATAAAACCATCACTAAATCAATAAATAATTCTTGATAGAAAGTAAAAAGGAAGCCTTCAGAGGTAATGCATCTAATCATCAAGTTGTGTAGTACAGTATGTATCATGTTATTAGAGATGAGGTTGGAAAGAGCCTAGTAAAGATAAGTAGAAGACTCCAGATGTTTCATACCAACAATCAGTCCACTTGATTCATAACAGAAACCCAACGTTTGTATTTACAGCTGTGCTATTAACTGTCTGCTGCATGCGACGAAAAAAGAAGACATCAAATCCAGAAAACAATCTGAGTTATTGGAACAATGCAATCACCATGGATTACTTCAACAGGCATGCGGTAGAATTGCCAAGAGAAATACAATCCTTTGAAACATCTGAGGTAAGATTAGAACCCTGTTGGCAAAGCATTGTTGAGGAGATTGAGATTAATGTATATCCCAGTTTTCTTCTTGTGGTGATGGGAACCAGCAGAAATGTTTATTTTCACAAAGTTCTTTAAAGAAAAAAAGAATCATATTGTTCATCATCCTTTGGTTTCCTGAACTATAATTCCTTTTCATAAAGAAATTGGAAAGTGTGTGAGTGATATAAATTGGAGATAAGTGCATTAATGAATGAAACAGGAAATCACAAACAACAGCCTGATCTGAAAGCATTTCTTTTTTCTGTATCACAATATTTGCAACTGGATATTTCATTTTCCAACTGAGCTTAATTGTTGGTAAACATTTTGTTGAATGTTTTTTCCTTAGTGGCTAGAAAATTCAGGAGGATTCTATGATATTTTAACAGAAAGCATATCCGGAATTTACTTTCCATCATGATAGTAATATTATAGAAAAGTTGCATCTTGCAACTTCTATTCTTCCACATTTATCAATGGTACAGAGAAACTACTGTATTTTTTGGAGTATAAGACGCACCTTTCCCCCCCAAAAAAGAGAGTGAAAATTTGGGTGCATTTTATAGACCGAATGTAGCCCCAGCCACCCCCACCAGAAGCCAAAAACATGAAGCATGGAGACAACGATGGTCTGTGGCAATTCCTGCAGTCTGTAAAAAGCTAATTGGGGGTATTCCGGCAGTCCAATCTACGTGCCAAACAGCTGTGCTGAATCACCCACAGCTGGATCAAGAAATGCCTGAAAATATTTGGCATCAACAGCAACATACAAAAATTCATGGAAACTTCAATGAAACTCTGGAAAACGAAGCTTATGCTAATGGAGAAAAACTGGGTAAAGTTGAAATTAAGCAAGGCATTTTCCAGGGTGATTCCCTTTCACCCCTACTTTTTATACTGTCAATGCTACCACTGACAACCATTTTGAAGAAGGTGAATTGTGGATACGAACTTGCAAAGAAAGAACTGATAATTTCGCACTTGGTATACATGGATGATTTGAAGCTGTTTGGTAAAACAAAAGCTGAACTGAATTTATTAATTGAAAGCACAAAAGAATTTAGTCAAGACATTGGCATGCAGTTTGGAATTGACAAATGTGCAACAATAGCAATCAAAGCAAGCAAATAATATAGTGTAGGTTAATAAAAGTAGAACCTTGCATGAAGTGATTTGCATTTGTTTGATCTTCCAAATGGTGGGAGATTAAAGATCTTAGATGGTATCTCTATCTTAATTTTTTAAAACTGAATCATGAGATTTTAGGCAGAACTGACATAGCTCCATTTTACAAGTTGAAACTCCACTGCCTCTCAAAGCAATGGAGCCCTTCAGTTGTACATGAATTACAGTTATCGTCATCCCAAGTTACTTGATTATGAAGAAGTTCTACTTGGAGGGCATTCGTTCAGAATCAGCTAATCTACATACAAATCTTAATTATATAATACTTTATATAAAACAATGTTATAATCCATTTGTATGGCAGGAATGAATATAACACATTTCGTTTTATGAGAGTTAATGTGATGAAAAATTAAAATCTTTTTTCTCCCCCTCCCCTCAATATTTTCTAGGACCACCTTTCTGAACCCCGTTCTCCAGCCAATGGGGATTACAGGGACACCGGCATGGTTCTCGTGAACCCTTTCTGTCAAGAGACGCTATTTGTAGGACATGAACAAGTGTCTGAAATATGAACCTTGCTCCTCTTCTTCATTTTATCTTTACGAATTATGAATATAAATATATATGTATATTATAAATATAATCTTTGTGTAGCCATGAAATATAAGAAACATTTTCAGCTCCTTGCCTCTTTTTTATGTGATTAAAAAATTTACAGACCAAACTTCAGCTTTATAAAATAAAAGCTATTTCTAAGCAAAATCAACAACAACAAAACCCTTGGTATTATTCAGATTGGGTTTTTTCCCACTCTACATTTAAATTTCTCAATTTAGGCAAGCTATCAGTCTGGGTAAATCTATGTTTATTCTCTATACTGCTCTCTACATGTATGGTTAGTGAAAATACCTATTTCTGTTGAATTTGGCCAGCACAGATTAAAAAAAAGATTTTTCAGTAAATAAGATACAAAAATTTGAGGTGACAAAAAAGCAGAGATAGAATTCATATAATGATCAATTTCTTATAAAGAAATTTTGTTTCTGCGATGAACAAGAATAACAAATATTTAGAGTGTATGTGTGGGTAGGACTTGCACATACACATTTAATGTACAGGTATGTAGAACTGAGCTTGAGATATTATGTTCCCAAGATTTCTCTGAATATTCAAATATCGTATACAAAGTAGATTTCAGTATAAAGATCAGCTTCTTTTTGCTGTATAATGTAACTGATAAATGTTTATAGGAGCAAGTGATTTAATAATTGGCTGTTCAAACCTGTTTTCTACAGGAGGGCTTTCTGATAAAATTCCTAATGTTGCTACAACTCCCAGGACTTGTTATCTTTTGCATTATGGTTGGTTGCAAGAGATTTAGACTGACTTATACATTTTTAGCCAAGAACCTAGGATAGGTTAAAGATATTGATGGTGTTAAAGATATTCTCACAATATGTAAGCTATTCCAAGTAAAGTAAGCTGCCTGTTGCAACTGACCAATGGACATTTTGTCCATATCAATGGTATTTGATGCTTCAGATATTTTGGGATTGAATTCAATGCAATCTTTGCATTTTTTTGTCACCATCATTCTACTTTTTTCCCACAAGCCTTTGTATTTTGTGATTTTTCTCGGTACTTTTTCTTCTATTCTGTTGTCGCCAAACCCCTATTTAGTGTAAAATCTAGAGCATTATGTGGCAAGTGCCAGTCTTTGAATTCTAAAGTCACTTTAGCATCTTTATTTTCTATGACTTTTTCTATTTTATGGCCCCAGCAGTTCTTTCTTGAAGGTAACTGGTACTTATTGCAGATCTTCCAATGTATTATTATTGCTGCTTTGTCTTGTCATTGTTTGTAGTCAGTCTGTACAGTCTTCTTGCAGTAGCTAACTAGACAATTTCTGTTTCTTCAGCTTTTTTGCTAATGTGGCACTTGCTGTCTGTTGTTGACTTCTCAGTTCTGGTTTTGTATGTGTTTGTTCTTAAGTTTTGATCTTGTGCATCCAAAATTAGCTCCTTCTGTCTTTTTATCTGTTTTGCCTCCTTTTTTAATGTACTGGCTATGTAATACTTTGCCTTCCCATATCTCTATGCTTTCTTCATTTGGTTTTTCTTGTGGAACAGTTTGGTCTTTCCAATACTCAGTAAACCTTCCTGGCATACTAGCTTCAGTGCATCCTCTTTGGTGTCCTTAGGATATTTTTCCAATGCCCTGTTTTCTTCTTCAACCATCTAATGTACTTGCAACATTCCAGGCCCACTTATTTTCCTTGCTAAATAAAGTCTGTCAATATTGCTGTTAGGAGAAAAATCCATTGTCGTTATTTTTCTGGTCTTCCTATCCAGGCTTTTAGTTCTGCTTGAGTCCAGTCCATTATTCCAGATGTGTATCTAATTACTGGAATTGCACAGGTGTTTATTGCCTTAATGGTATTTCCTTAACCGAGTTTGGAATTTTTGATCCTCCTCTCTCTTGAAGTATTAACTTCTGGCTTTGTTCTTGACTTCAGCATGCTTGAGTTTATTAGCTTGAAGGATGCCAGATATTTATAGTATTCATCTTCACCCAGACTCTTGGTGTTGTTTCCATAGGGATCTTGATTCCTTCTGTTTTCACTATTTCTCTCTGTTTGATTGAGGATTGCACATTTGTGGTTGTATATACAGACAATGTTGAGTTGCAGTTGTATTTTCATACAGCTTTAGATTATCCATATAAAGGTGGTGGGATAACCTGTCAGATGTTTTTCATGTTTTTGATAGCCATGGACTGAATTATTCAGTATTGTTAACAGAGGAATAAGTGCAATCACAAACAGTAGTGGTGATAGTGAGTTTCCTTGAAAGATTATTCTCAATATTAATCTCTCTCAATCTGTCACCAATGACTAGCAACCGTGGTTTCCATTGTCCCATTGATCTTTCCACAAAGCTTCTGATGTTTCTACTGACTCCTGGTATATCTAGGCACTTGATTATCCAATCATGTGGCAAGGAGTCAAACCGCTTCTTCTAAACAATCCATGCTACATTTAACTTGGTCTTTTATCTTGTCAGTTAGGAGTTGATCTTTTGTTCCTCTGCTGTTAGGGCAGTTTCCTTTCTACTCAGGTAGAAAGAATCTTTTTTCAAATAGATGCTATTTTACTGCATAGTTACTATACTGTTAGAAGGCAGTTAATGGGCCTATAGTAGCCTGATGCTGCTCTTTTCAGCAATAGCACTTAAACTTATATACCACTTTGTAATGCTTTACAGCCCTTTCTAAGCATTTTTTACAGAGTCAACATATTGCCTCCAACAATCTGGGTCATTTTACCTGACCTTGGAAGGATAGAAGGCGGAGTCAACCTTGAGCCTGGTGAGATTTGATCTGCCAAACTGCTGGTAGCCGGTGATCAGCAGCAGTAACCTCCAGTACTGCACTCTGACCATTTCACCACCATGGCTCTTTTTGCGGCATCTTTCATTATGTTAGCAACTCTTCAATTTCACCTCCTTGCAGTTGTTAAACTGTTTAGCAATGAGTGTAGCCACTCAAATATTTTAACTAAAAACCCTGCAGTTCATTTTCACTTGCTATTGACCATTTTTTGACCTTCCTTGCTCTTTCCGCCATCGTTTCTACTGTTATTACAAATTGTATAATTTCACCTTTTTTATTCTTATCCACTTCCTTTAGCCAAGCAGCATTCTTGTATTTCTTTGGGGTGCCCATAACTGTGCCCAAAATTGCACTGTTTCTTCTTTGTCAGATATTGACTGATTTATTGCCGTCTCTCCATTGATGGATTGGTAGGAACATTTCTAACTGGTTTGAAACTGGAGAATCTGTTTTATGATATGCAATTTGAGTTTCATATCTGCTGCTCTTCTTGCCTGTAGCTGTTATTTACTGCTTTAGTACACCTGTTTTCCTGAAAATAAGATCCAATCTTATTTTCTTGTGACCTCCAAAATAAACGCTAGGACTAGTTTTTGTGGGATGTTTTAATCCCTGCACCCTTCAGGTCAGCTCAGCATCCCAGATAAAGTTTGGCTTTGGCCTCTGCTGCAGCAAAAGGCATTGCTGATGTTCACTGAGCATGCTTGAGACCAGCAAGCAGGCATGGTTGGAGCCACAGCTGCAGCTTCTTCCTGCTTTAGCTTTGTCCTCAGTTGGGAGCAGAATGGTTCATGGCGAAATGGTGAATTTGCTTGTGAGGCATTCCTAAAGCCTCAGCAGGAGAGGAGGGTTGCTTGGGTGGTAGGCTGAGAAAGTGGGGTTAATACGTGAGGTGTTGATACAGATTGAGCTTGGCATTTCACCTTCCTGCCTTTTGTGAACTTTTGGCTGCATGCAATGAAAGCATACACAGCAGAGACCCCGGCTTTTCACTCCTCCAAACCCCATCAGAAATAGGTATTTGTGAGGATTGTTGTTACGTCGCGCATGCAAGCGGCAGCATCTTGTTTGTTGCACCAGTGCAGTCACCTATGGCAGGAGGCGACAAGGCTTGTTGTGCCGCCACTCACATGTACTACAACATGACCCATTTCTGGTTGAGTTTGGGGGAGAGAAGCCAGGGTCTCTGCTACATGTTTTCCTTGTGTGCAGCCAAAACTTCACAAAAGGCAAGAAGATGAAATGCCAAGCTTGGCCCATATTAACACATCGCGTATTAAACCCTTTCTCAGCCTACTATTCTAGCAACCCTCCCCTCCTGCTGAGGCTTTAGGAATACCTCACAAGCAAATTCACCAACCATTTCGCCATGAACAGGAATCCCCAAGGAAAGGAGGATCAGCAGGAACTCTCCCCCCCCCCCATTTTCCTTATCATCCTTTCCTTCTGCTGAAGACGCAGAGGGAGCATTTTTTGGATGTGTGTCCATGCAGGGCTGATGAGCAGAGAGGGGGGTATCTGGTTTAGGTGAGTACAATAGAGCAGGCAGGCAGAAGTGCGGGCTCTCCTCAGATTTTGTTGGCTGTCTCATCACGGTTTGATTTTGCTTGAGATATGGGAGAGGGAGAAATATCAGAAGCAGGCAGGCAGATGCAGCAGGCCCAGCAGCTGGGCAGAGGTGAGGAGGGGAGAGTAGATTCCAAAGCATCACACTGCCTTCTGCATTGTCATAGCAGCAGCCTGAGCAAGACCCAAGCTCCAGAGCACAAACCGTGGTCGCTGCCTGCTCCAGAGCCACAAGATAAGATGTGGAAGAGAGGGGCGCTCAGCTGCGAGGTTGCCTGGTGCTGCGGGCAGGGCCAGGACTGACAAGAGTGTGCTGGAAATACCTCCAGGTGCCCAGAGAGACAAAATGAGAAGCAGCTCTTGGCCCTAGCTGGCTCAGCTGATCCTTGAGGCCATGATTAAGGGACTGAGCCTCCATGAGGTGACCAGGGAAGGGAATGGCTGCCTCCTTTGCTGGTCACCCCACCCCCTTTACTATGGCTTATTTTTGGGGTATGATAAGCAGGCTAGGGCTTGTTTTCGGAATAAAACATGTTTTCAGGGGAACACGATATTTCCAGTGCTTCCTTATCTTACTTGTTTCTAAGTGATATTTTTTCATCAGGTATTCCTAGGTCTTCTTGCTCTTTCACTTCTTTTATTTCATCTGTTCTAGCTTGCTTGCATTTAATCCTAGTTTGCTGATCTTAATTTTCCAAT